GTAATAAATACTACTTACTACTTTAGGTAAGTAGTAAACGTTTAAGTTAGTAATTAAATAAATAATTATACTAACTTACGTCTACACTAGTATAGTATATACTACATATATATATATATATATATATATATATATATATATATATATATAAATAAATATTCCAAAGTGTTTGATGTTAATGAGTAAAACCAGTCAAACAGGGTCATAAATTTTCTCTATTTTAGTGCCTATAAGTTGTTCAAAATAAAAAAATCCTTCCACATGTACTTTGAATTCCTTTAAATGTATGTGGTAAAATATGTGTGTGTGTGTGTACAGACAGGTGGTGATTGTAGAGTTTTTTTAAACTGAATTGTTTCTTTCTTACTGAACATAAACATTTTAGCATTTTAGTTGCCCAAGCATCCCTACACTTAACTTTGGACAGTATGACATATTGCTGCTCTAGTTTCATGACTAACCATGCCAGGAAGATTGATAACTTAACATGGTTGATTTATTGAAGAACCTAAACCTTTACATATGACTGCTGAATATTTTATATGCATGAGAAACTTTCTGTTTGTGAGATTCTCCAATTTTTGAATATGCTCAATAAAAATCACTGCCAACATTTTCTTATTTAAAGATTGTTCACATAACATGAATAATGTAGTGATGTAACAGAGGATAAATCTTCATATTTAGTTTACTTTTACTCTTGTGAGTTTCTCACTGATTAAGTGCATCTAGGGCATTAATCTAATAACAAAGGCTTAAAATTATCACGTTATCTATCTGCTTTATATTTCCATACAACTGGTCACCAGTGTAAACTGTTTTGTACATTTACTAAGGAAAGTAAAAATCAATTTCTCTTTGATCTATTCTGTGTGTGCTAAGTAGTTCAAATGAAAAATTTTCATTATATCTAAATACACTTATTGTAGTTTAATAGTGATTATTTAACTGTATTTTAAAAATATGTGTTTGGATTATTAAAACCACAATTAGTACCCTCTCTTTGTGATTGATTTACTATGGCAGGAGAGCAAAGTAAGATATTTTTTGTTGCTTATGTTTTCACCTATTTCTGATCCAAGCATATAAGTTAAAAGCTACAAAAAACTTTTTTATTACAAATTACCTATACTGTTATTTACCTAAACAAACTCCTGGTGTTTCTAGAAGCATTTGAAAAGTAAAATATATCTGAAAAAATGAATATTTTTCCAGCTTGCTTACTAGTGCAGTTCTCAAACAATAAGAAATGCACCCATAAAGATATTGTTCAAAATCACATGGTATTAAGACACAGAAATGAAGGAAACAATGACAGTAATATCACAAGTATGGTAGTACTTATAGTAGGAATGGGCTAAATGTGCAATACAAATTAAGATCTCAAAAACGCTACAAACAGTATGTTAACAAAACTTTATAAGCACTTTACACACAATGTTGAATAGTAAACAAACCAACTGGAGAGTAACAAACCACCAAAGCACCTGAGAAAGTTGGTAAAGTAAAAAAAAAATTCACAAAACCACAAATTTATCAATCTGACTGACTGACTAACGTTATTGGAAAGACATAGCTCTCTCCTGACCTCACCTTATGCAAATTTAAACACACATGATTGAATTATGCTAATTTTACTTATAACCTTGGTAATAACAAGTAATAAAAATAACCATTTTGCAACACTACTAATGAGCTAACAATACACTAGTAGCCATGTTCTATGATTGCAAGCACACTCTGTGAGTTGCCAAATAACAACCAGCTCTCATTATTGCGTGTGGGTACACGATTGCTTAAGTGTACATGATCAGCCTGCAGCTGTATCAGCTAGATGAAAAAACGTGAACTATGTAGATTCTCTATATCTAGATTGTAACTTAAATCTTATGTTGATAACCTTGAAAAGTCTTTGTCTCAGTGAATAGAACATTGCTACAAGAATAGAGTTAAGGTTAGAAGTAGTAATGTTACATTTGCAAAACAAGCTTTAGCCTTTAATCTAGGCAAAGATAATGCTGTCACCCTAGCTAGATGGAAGAAAAACGATAGCAAAGATATCAGCAAAGGCTAGGATATATCGAGAAATAACTCTAAGAAAAGCTACGAGAAGGATAGGCCTAGAGCCCAGTCACTCTTGAGACATAGTACCAAAAGAAAAGCTATGAGAGAAGTATAAAATATTTTTGAATAAACAAATTGGGAAGTAGGAATGGGTGCACAAAAAAGTAAGGAAACTTGGCGGTTTTTGACACAGTGCAACCTCAAAGTGGGTATGGCCAACGTTCCACCCATTTTTACTTCATGTTTTACTTTGAATTTTGATCCAATTATAGACTTTAATTGAGTTTTATCAGTAGCTAATAAAACATATTCCAGATTGTGGCTTTCCTTTGGAGTTAGTGACCGAGAAGTTATCAGACATACTGCAAATCATTTAACTTTAATTTGGAGCTAGTGACCTATAGGTTATCAGATGTATTCCAGTTCGTAACCTCTACTTTAGAGATACTGACTAAAAAGTTTCAGACATTCCAGTTTATGATCTTGACTTTGTAACTAGTTACTTTAAAAGTTACGTGCAGGTTCTAGGTCATGGCCTTGACATGGAGCATTAGTTCTCAAGATTGGATCTTCATGCCAAATTGTTTGTACCCATGTATTATGAAGCTTGTAAACTGAAAATCTTTGTAGGTGTTTATAAACAGATTATTATCAAGTAAATACTTCATGATGAGTGTCATAAAACGTATTTAAGTGCACAGATTACGTTTTGTATTGTTTTTGAATCATTTCTTATTACGAAGGTGTTTGAGAAAGTAAAGGTCATTCATAGATAAAATGAGAGACAAAGTATCAAAACTCGCCATGTTTGTCCAGGGTATACAACCACACGATTTTGTTTATGAATATCTATCAATAGCTTTGGGATCCAACGAGCACACACTTTCCAGAGGTGTGTTCATGGATAAATAGCATGGATTCTGCCTGCACTTATGCCAACTTCACTGACAAGTTCAGCAAAACTCACTTTTTGGTTATCACTGATAGCTGTGTTCACCTTAGCAATGTTTCATCAGTGGAGGCACAGCTGGAGCGTCATGTTCAATCTTCATCTACTACTGATGTTTCGCATTTTTAAACCTGTCCATCCAATTATACACTTTTCTCCACATTGTACCAACATTCTCCTGTAAATTTCAGCTAGTAAAATACCTTTTAGCTCACAGGAAACGAAATGCAAGTCGCTACTCTTTGATAAACATTGATAACTTGCTCACTAGCGCTAAAAGTGCACAACACATGAACGAAAGGACACTTTCATAAATACATACATCAATGTTACTTGGTTGTGTGCCGTTCACTGCTTTATCACACGTAGAAAGCACTGGTGTAAATATTGCCTCTGTTATTTAAAACACCCTGTGGTATATAAACAAAACATACTTTCCATTTTCTTCTATTATTATAGTATCTAATCTGAATTTATTATGTATACGCGAAGGCTCACATAACATTTGGTCGAGAAAGATGCTAAGTTGATTTCATCCTAGCTGCTTTTGTTATTCTCAAGGAGATAGTACCTGTTCTGCCCACGGTGGGTATTGCTACAATATTGCCAATTGTACAAAGATATCGGCAGTAGTGTCATCCAATAGTAGTTCAGATGATATCCTGAGGTTACAGCTTCATCTGTGTTTGAATGAGAATGACCAGTCATATGAGTAGACTAGTTGCTCTAGTAAGTACAATGTTTTCTTCTAAGTAAGGAATGTTGGATTTAGTCCAGTTGGTACACGATCTTGTAGAATATGTCATCTGAAAGAAGATCAAGTAAAAGTATCAGTCCAGCAAAGGAAGTATAAATACTGCGGTTTTGTTTACTGTTTCAACAAAAAATTGTTCATTTCATATTTTACTGTGTCCTGTCTTTTTATCTCATTCTTATGATTCAGTATTATTTTATAATAAGTATCTTAATTACATATCCTGTTATTCTGTGGACCTATTCCCTTTTGACTTGAATATATCACAACTCTCATAGATTGGCATACCCCCCTGGCAGCTTAACATAAAGCTTTATTCCCTGTGGTAAAAACTATCTATTGTATAGCTTTGCATTTAAACAAACAAATAAATATATTAACATAACTGTTCGTTTTGAAATATGAAAGTTTTTGTTTTTTTGTTGTTGTTTTTTCCATATAACTAAGCTTGAGATAAAATATTTATAAATTAGTTTGTTTGTTTTTAATTATGCACAAAGCTACACGAGGGCTATCTGTGCTCTGCCCACCACGGGTATCGAAACCCGGTTTCTAGCGTTGTAAGTCTGCAGACATACCCCTGTGCCACTGGGGGGGGGGGGGGGCATTTATAAATTAGTATTAAGAAGTTTGTGTTTTCTTACCTGAGAGGTATCTAAGTTTATACAAGTGGGGCAAAATCTGGTATATAAATATATTAAATCATGTTTACAGTTGTTATTTATTTAAATATTACTTAAATTTAAGCAAATGTGCTTTAGTCTTATATGAGTGATTTTATGCCTCTACATATATGAATAAGACCAAATATAGTATTTCCTCAGATAGATCAAAATCTGATATCAAAGAATATTGTTACGCGTCCGTTTGTTAATTAACTTGCCGTAACTTCGTTCCGACGAAACTTTAGCGACACAAGTCCTTACTTAATAGAACTGGTTTATTCCTTCCGAATATAACTTTACGATACACTTAATTTCAACAATCGCGCTAAAACAAACGCTGTAACAACGAACGTGCTCGATAATACTCTCTGACTGCAGATCAGTTACTCACTGTCTACACA